GACGTTCAGGTAGCACCTCCCCCATTTGGCCTCAAAAGAAAGGGTTCAGTCCCCGCCAAAAATCCAAATCATAGGGACGTCTGGGTCCTCCAGTAGGGTACCCACTTTTTTCAGGACCTCTATTTTAGTAGCGGAACCCTCCCAGGGGACCTAGTTTCCCTTCAAAAAAGGATGGTAAGATTTTGTAAGGTCATTTAGCAAGTTTTGTCAACTACTCCTGCACCACGGCTTTGCGGGCTTGAGTTGGGTCCAACTGGGAATGGTCCTTGGAAACATGTATGGCCCGAAAGATTTTGGTTTCCTTGTGGAGGTTTCGAACCCAAACTTCCACCAAAGCGCTACGAAAGCACCCCGTGAGGCGGTTCAACCTGACCTCTAGGAGGGTTAGGGGGCAATAACAAGACTGAGGCGGCCAACGGGCCATTCACTTGGTCCAACGTTGCACATGATGTTCAAGTTTACTCTGGCCACCAGCCATACTCTCAAAATGGCTTTTATTTCACACAAAGGCCTAAGAGGATGGCGGGGACGGGATACGCATGGCCCCGGGCCCCCAACACATTGAACGAGGTACCGCATCAAGATGGCACATGCTCGCAGAAGAAAATCCCTGGTCATGCATGCAAGGCGGTGTGATGCTCCCGCGCAGACCTGACACGTCCATTAAGATAACTTGAAACGGTGAAGCCTGATCCGTCCTTGAATGTTGAAACTAAACTACGGTAACAAGTTAACCAGCCCCTGTTGTCCCGCGTTTAAGCCTGAGTAAAGCCTACTTGCCTGGCATAGGTTCAACAAGTTCCATCTTCCGCCGCGCCTGCTGCATGGCTGCGGCCGATTCTGCGGCCATCGGCTTGTCGACGCTGCGAGCCGAACGAGCGGCGAATTTAACGGATTGCTAGGCTCACCTGGCCAAACGGGCCCGACCCGCTGCAAACAGTGTGCTTATATTTTTGCTTGCCGTTAACATGGAAAAATTGAGGGAAACCTAAAACCACCAAAAGGCTAAAAAGGTCAAGAAGGTCAGCTAAGTCTGGCAAGGATGCGAGTGACATCCATCTAAAAAGTGGCTTTCGGCTTAAAGAGAGACCACCGGATCCCAAGAGCAATGATTGAGAACCGGTGCCTATCCGCGAAAATCGCCAGCCAAAGGAGACCTAAGCCAACCGAGGAAAAAGACTCCATCGCATGTTGGGGAGTGGGAGTGTGAGCTGGCGACCGAAGTCGAATTCAAATGTCGTGGGGGCTGTAGGGGAGGGAGGAGGGGGGGAGGGAGCCCAAATAAGCCCCAAATTAAGGCCTTATTCAAGGGCTTATTTGGGCTCCCTCCCCCCTCTCCTCCCTTAGCCCCCCATGGAAATGCCGATGTTCCTTGCCCTCGACACCCCTCTTACGCGGAATCTGCTGCTCAAGTGACCCAGGCCCAGAGCCACCACAGCCCATGTCCCACTGCGCAAGCCGAAGGGCCACAAGTGCCTTTTTTGCCTGTGATTTCCGAACTGAAGCAAGCTGACGAGTTGAAGCATTGTGTCAAAACTGAGATCCGAGCTTACCACAACTGTGATGAGCTCGAGTTGTCAACATGTTGTGTTTTTTAGGTACAAGTTCAATTCAATATGTGTGTGTGTGCACGCCGCTCGTCAGATGCTTACTCCTGAACGCAGGCCACTTCCAGCATGCAAATATGTCCGCTCTCTGACAGTTTGGACCACCATGACTTCGGATTTGGGTCGAGCGCCACCCAAAATTTCCTTGCAAGAGGATGGCGGCAAAGGTCAACAAATCTCCCCGCAGTTCAAGCGAACCATTCCCATTTTGCGCCCACGTGCAGCCGAATCCTTCGGCTGCCCCGCCTTTTTCCGAAAGCTGCGCTGCACGGCTGTGGCGACGCTGGCGCCGCACAAGGGTCGCGCTATGCCAGCGACCGAGAACTTTGAGGGGAGAGGCGGGGCGGGGCGGGGGGGACCAAAGCGCACAAGAAGTCTGGCAAGGACGCGCAAGCTGCGCGGAACTCATCTCACACAAGATGGCCGCCGTGGTGCCAGACAGGCTCCATCACCCCCCGTCCGTAATTTTTACCATGAACAAGTCTGGCACGAAGAAAGGGGGGGCCATGAATCTGGAATGAGCGTGCGTTGAGGCCTCCAGGCCCTGCCTGGTTGTATTGTCCCTCGTGCCATACGTGCCGCGCAGTGAGCCCCTTTCGAGCGCCGCGCAGAAAATTCCTTCGCACGGGAAGGGGACGAGCGGGGTTCAGCCAAGCAGTCGAGGGGACAGTAAAGAGGTTACAATAAGAGTACCAACTTTTTCTGCAGTCTGTTTTAGTAAGGGGACCGAATCTCCCAACCAAAAAAAGGGGTGAGAAAGGGCACTACGGGGGGAACCTAGAAAGGGTTGCATTGCCTACATGCCGAAGGGTTGCCGCAAGACCTGCTGGAGCTCCCAACACTTCGGGGGCGCAATGGCCAAATTCCTGGGCCGCCCTCAGATCCCCCGCTAAAAGTTTTCAACTTTTCGTGGAGTAAAGGGAAACTACCACTACACACCAAAAAGCTAAAAAGCTAGGGAACCGGATGGCTGGGAGCAATGGCCAGAATCTATGCAAAAAGCCAAAAAGCAAAGGAACCGGATGGCTGGGAGCAATGGCCAGAATCTAAGCAAAAAGCTAAAAACCTAAGGAACCGAATGGCTGGGAGCAATGGCCAGAATCTATGCAAAAAGCTAAAAAGCTAAGGAACCGGATGGCTGGGAGCAATGGCCAGAATCTATGCAAAAAGCTAAAAAGCTAAGGAACCGGATGGCTGGGAGCAATGGCCAGAATCTATGCAAAAAGCTAAAAAGCTAAGGAACCGGATGGCTGGGAGCAATGGCCAGAATCTATGCAAAAAAGCCAAAAAGCTAAGGAACCGGATGGCTGGGAGCAATGGCCAGAATCTAAGCTAAAAGCTAAACCGGATGGCTGGGAGCAATGGCCAGAATCTATGCAAAAAGCCAAAAAGCTAAGGAACCGGATGGCTGGGAGCAATGGCCAGAATCTATGCAAAAAGCTAAAAACCTAAGGAACCGAATGGCTGGGAGCAATGGCCAGAATCTATGCAAAAAGCTAAAAAGCTAAGGAACCGGATGGCTGGGAGCAATGGCCAGAATCTATGCAAAAAGCTAAAAAGCTAAGGAACCGGATGGCTGGGAGCAATGGCCAGAATCTATGCAAAAAGCTAAAAAGCTAAGGAACCGGATGGCTGGGAGCAATGGCCAGAATCTATGCAAAAAGCCAAAAAGCTAAGGAACCGGATGGCTGGGAGCAATGGCCAGAATCTATGCAAAAAGCTAACCTAAGGATGGCCGGATGGCTGGGAAATGGCCAGAATCTATGCAAAAAGCTAAAAAGCTAAGGAACCGGATGGCTGGGAGCAATGGCCAGAATCTATGCAAAAAGCTAAAAAGCTAAGGAACCGGATGGCTGGGAGCAATGGCCAGAATCTATGCAAAAAGCCAAAAAGCTAAGGAACCGGATGGCTGGGAGCAATGGCCAGAATCTATGCAAAAAGCCAAAAAGCTAAGGAACCGGATGCTGGGAGGAATGGCCAGAATCTATGCAAAAAGCTAAAAAGCTAAGGAACCGGATGGCTGGGGAGTAATGGCCAGAATCTATGCAAAAAGCTAAAAAGCTAAGGAACCGGATGGCTGGGAGCAATGGCCAGAATCTATGCAAAAAGCCAAAAAGCTAAGGAACCGGATGGCTGGGAGCAATGGCTGGATGGCTATAATGGCCAATGGCCAGAATCTATGCAAAAAGCTAAAAAGCTAAGGAACCGGATGGCTGGGAGCAATGGCCAGAATCTATGCAAAAAGCTAAAAAGCTAAGGAACCGGATGGCTGGGAGCAATGGCCAGAATCTATGCAAAAAGCTAAAAACCTAAGGAACCGAATGGCTGGGAGCAATGGCCAGAATCTATGCAAAAAGCTAAAAAGCTAAGGAACCGGATGGCTGGGAGCAATGGCCAGAATCTATGCAAAAAGCTAAAAACCCAAGCCCGAAAATAGTTCAAACAGCGCTCCGCAGATACCACTGTAGAAGCTACCCAGGGGAAATTAGCAGGTAAAATCTGGTGAGAAACCCGGGTTGCCTACCACAGTGACTGCAAGCACTGGGATTCCCAACTGCGAGACCCAAATCATACCCCCTGGGCCCCAGTGAAAGCTCGCCATCGGAGATAGTCAGACCCATGGGCAAAACTCAGATGTGGATGTCTTCCTTCATCTTGAACCCTCATGACGGTTCCCTAAATTTTCCGAGGGGTTAATGACCCCTACCAACCCCAAGTAACCAGCTGCTGTAGGCATCCCAAACTGAAAAAATGATAACCCCCGAGGGCCTTGAGCTGGTTATACCCCGCGTCTCGCTATCTTCCCAAACCTTGGTTTAAAAACAAATACATATTTCTTGCCGCCCCTCCCCCCCTTTCGAAACGAGCCCCCAGTCACAACCAAAATCCAAACAGCTCTGTCGTGGACCCACGCAGATCGGCATCGGAGCCCCTCAGTGGAAGAGCCGCGCCGGCACGGTCTTGCGCAGGCGCTTGGCCAACAGTTCCACCAGACCCTCGTGGCCTGGCGAGCGCCGCTTGTCGCGCCTCGCCTCGTTGCCTGGTTGGATTGGCAAACAAACAAAAAACGTGTTTGCCTCGGGAGTCCATCACATAAACAAACAGAGCCACGGTGCCCCTTGTTAGACAGGGTTCCACAAAAACAAAGAAGAAGGAAGAACGAGGGTGCTGATGGTCTAAGGGTGGAAGTACATACCCCTTGTTCATACCCCTTGGCTTCCGTGGTATCCAACCCACTTTACAAGGGGTATATACCCCTTTTGGGAGAGTATGAACATCAGCAGGCCTTCTGGGTTCATTTGTCCAAGGGTATGTAAAAGAGGTATGTACAAGCACCCCTGGAGATGGGGCAGCTGTCTGGAAAAATGTGCGTTGGATGCATTGGGCTGTGGTGTCCTGCCCTGTGGCCAAGGCAAAATCAAGGGGACACGGTGCCCGTTAGACGAGGGCAACCCGACCCATCCGCAAATCGCCGGGGTTGAGTTTGGTTTGTCCGGCAGCTTTATGGTTCCAGGCAAGTTCTGCAGAGGTTCCCAAGGTGTTCGACTCTGCTTGTGTTTGTTACATGTTTGCCGCCACGTCTGGAAGTCTTCCAAGGCCCTACGCTGAAAGCCGGACTAGTCTCTAACAAACCTCCAGTGGACACGACGTGCGTACATGTCAATCTGAGGCACGCCTTTTAAGTAGCCGCTAGCCCTGGTGAATCATATTCCGCCTAGGGGACTTGGGGTAAAAGGGCTAACGCAGAGCTAACCACCAAGTACCTGCCTCAAGTAGCGGTAGAAACCTGCTGGGTATGCCCCAAAACTCGCCGCTGATTGCAATCCAAGCGCACGAAGTCACCCAAGGAGGACAAGTGCTGAGTACTTGCGCTTGCGTTACAAACTCCCATCTTGCCAGAACAGCAAATGGCAACATCTTATGGGCTTTTCCCCTCTCACCAAGGCATGAAAGTGCACTAGGCCCTTTGGAATTGAGGCGTTGCTTTTGAGGAGGGTAGAAACCGGCCATACCACAGGTGTCTTTTTTGGGTTGTTTTGGTCGGAAAAATAGATGGTCCTGGTTTACCTCATGGTCCTGATATCTAATTCCCCTAAAAGGACACCTATGGGCCATACTGTTGGATTTTGGCGGCTTACCCCAGTCTTCAAATCAGGCTTCATGCATCCCAGCTGGTGCCGATCGGCGTAGAACCCAACGATATGCGTCTTGCGTTCCTATTTCACTTCTATGACGCTGGCAGAAAAAGAACCTTTTTTGGGGCTGGCCATTTCTATTGGGGAAGCCACCCAACAAAAGGGGAACAGAAAAAAGGGTGGCACCGGACACGTGAGATCGCCAAATGCGTGCCTCATGCCGGCAAGAAATGGTTTTGTATGTAAACATACTGTGGATGGACAATTCTGCACCGCGTAGAAACCATGAGAAACCATTGTTGGTCGGTATTTACAGGCGAATCGAATCACTCCCGGTTTCTTAGGTGGTGCGAAATGGACTTCGTCCACGCAGAGTAGTAAGCCCTGAACGTCGATTTGCCCCCTTCCGAACCAAACCTGTTGCCGTTGATCTGATCCGATGGCCAGACGGACCGACCCCCCGCTTTCGCCTGCCAAGACCCTGGTGGTGGCCAAGCTCAGGTCCGGCCGCTTCTGCTTCACCTGCCCCAGGATCTGGTCGATGTCCCCCCCAGGCCCCGCGTGGCGGCCCTCCTGACATTCAAAAACGGCGCGGCCGGGGAGAAAAAAAAAAACGGACGCACGTGTTTGTTGTTGGTTTATGGTTGTTGTTGCTTTTTTTTCTGGGGAATTGATGGTAGCAGCTTCTCTTCATACTGTGGATGCACAAAATCCTGCACGAGTCGGCAGGTGGTCTTTCTCTCGAATTCATAGGTTTTCATCAAAATCAGAAACTGGCGCTGCCAACCCCGGAAAAGCCACGACTCCAACCAAAAAACACGCACACCCACGAGCGCTCAAAAAGGCCATGCCTTTCTTGGAGGCTGCCGTTTGGTCGTTTCAAGTCATCACTGTGAGTTGGGGCCCGTTGATTGGAATCTGTCAACTTGAGAAAAGCAACCGGCCCTGTGAAGCTGAAGCCAGCAGGAACCGGAAGCCGATGTTGGGATACCCCCTTGCCTTTGGACACAACCCATCGGCTTGTGTGAAATGGGGGGGGGGGGCAAAATGGCAAATGCTGCGGCTTTGTTTGGCTTTCAACTTGAACCCCCCCAAACACCAACCCTCAAAGGTCCGTTTCTCAAACTAAAAGCCCCCCGAGCTGCTCGGGTTCCTCGCGTCCCTGTCAATACCCACCAAAGGAGCCCATTTTTGTTTACCACGATCAAAGTCACCCCCTAAGTGCTGGGTTAAAGGGAAACCACCCCACAGGGATCCTTGCATTATACACCTGAACATTGCCTTGCAAATGGTGGCTTCCCTTGATCTTGGTGTTGAAACAGCCATGTTTCAAATGGTTGCAAAATGGAGATCTTTTAAGGAGCCCTGCCCCACTTTCTGACTTTAACTCCCAGAAACCGTCGAAATACTGCCCCTCGGCCAGCTCGGCAGCCGGTTCCCCGTGCCTGCAGGAAGAGGAGCGCCACCTTGGCGGAGGTGTTCGGCGGCAGGGCCTGACGCTTCGCCCAAACCGACATGTTAGTCTCTGGAGAAATGCAAAGTCCTCCAGTAGAGATATTAAAAAAGTAAGGGTACCAACTGTTTTTGTCAGAACATCTATTTTAGTAGGGGAACCCTCCCGTAAAAAGGGTAACAGGGCACTACTGGGGGACCTGGAGAAATCTGTGGCCCACCCCGGGTCCCCCAACATTTCCCGCCGGATGCTCTTTAAGGGGAAACCCTGCGTTCAACAGGAAAATCCAGATCTCTGACCGGGGGTCGCTAAGTTTGTATCCCCATTTACTGGGAAACCCCGGGTTGATAAACACATCCTACTTGGGAAACAAATGGCCCTTTTGGGGCCATGGGCCAAAGACCAGCCATGGCTTTTGTTGAACAGCTGGCCCCGTTACTTTGCTGTCAAAGCCCTCCCCGTGGCAGGTCCAAGGCAACCGACCCCTGGTGGACTTTAACTTGGTTGCTGCAACGACCCCCCTGCAAAAAGTGTTTAAAACTTTTGGGGGTTAGTACGGAAAACACCCCATATTTCAAGCAAAAAGTTAAAGTCTAGCAGCCAAGTTCACCCCCAGAAACCGTCCACAGAAACCCGAAAGAAGCCGCACGCCCCGCCTGGAGGGCCTTCTCCAAGAGCGGCCCGTTGAAGTCCTCGGCGCGGGTTTCGTGAAAGCGTTGCTTTTTTCTCCGCGCGAAACGCCCAAGACTCGGTTGACGTGGGAAGGGGAGCAAAAATTCAAATTCTAGCAGTTAAGTGGTTGGATTTCAACCACTGAGCCACAATAAGCAAAAATGCAAAATGTTTCCCAACAACAACCATGAAGAGGGCAGCATCAAGCACCTTGGCCAAAGAAAGGTGACACAAAGAGCCTGATAGAAGCGGTGAGCACATGCGGATGAATTACCACAAACTAACATTGTTTGTGGTGTGTGTGCCTGCCTGTTGACCTATTGATTTGTCACCCTATCCATCTTCCTATTCGTGCATGCATCTATTTGCGCATCCATTTTTCTGCCTGTCGGTCTGTCTCTCTTTCTATGCGCCTGTCCAACTACGCATCTGTACGTCTATCTATGTATTAGCCTACTTACCTACCTATGTACGTATCTAATGAAATCAAATCAAATCTATCTATCTAGCTATTCTAATGTATCCTAGTCTAGTCCATCTATCTGCCTATCTATCTATCTGTCTATCTGCCTAGCCATGCATCTAGCTCACGTATACCTATCTATCTAAACTAATCAATCTAATCTATCTGGTTTTTTATCCTAACATAACCTGATCGATGCATCTGTCTTTCTAGCTGTCTATGCATTTTGTCTATCAACCTAATCTAATCGAGTTTAATCTCATGTAACCTATCTAATCTCATCAAGCCGAACCTACAAGCTAGTCTAATGCATCTATACAACCTGATCTGTGCAGCTATGAGTCTACCTGTCTAATCTACTTAACATGCCTACCTACCTACTTAATCTAGTCTGGGCTAGTCAAGTCTAGCCATCTAGCTAGCTATCTTTCTCTCTCTCTCTCTCTCTCGCTCTCTCTCTCTCTATCATATGCATCAAAGTGTTCATTTGTTTGTCTATCCGTCTATGTATCTACCTACCTACCCCCTTTGCGTCTTTCCTTCTATCTATCTACGGTCTGTCTGTTTGTCTGTCTGTCTCGGTCTGTCTGTCTGAATGTCTGTTTGTCTATCTGTCTATCTATCTGTCTATCTAGTCTAATCCAATCCAATCCAATCTATATGCCAAATCTAATCTAAGCTAAGCAAAGCGAAGCTATCCAATTTTCATGTAGCCTAACCAAATGTAATCTAATCTAAGCTAATCTCAGCTAATCTAACCTAACATACTTTAAACTATTTGTCTATCCATGTGTACATAGCTAACCTGCCTATCTATCTTTCTATCTGTCCGTCTGTCTGTCGGTCTATCTAGCTAGCTAGTCTTCTCCTGTCTTCCTTTTCCTAGCTATCTATCTATCTTTCTGGCTGTCTACCTGTCTGTGTATCTGCCACGGCCTGTGAATATTTTCCACTAGGGTGTGGTGGCTTTTGATGGAACGAGCGGACTTGGTAAAGGCTCCCATTCCCGTAAGGATCTGGCCCCATTATTTTTAAGCACCACCAAAGTTAAACCCCAAGTAGGTTACAAGGAAACAACCCCAGCGGTACTAAAATGGTCGTAATCCCAGAACCATGCTTCAAGAATTAACCAGGCGGATATCCGCAACGAAATCTGGCTGGGACTGCCCCTTAATGTTGACCCACGATTAATAAACTCGTCCCACTTTTTTTAGGGAGGTGTTTTCTGCAAAAGTGATGCTTCTCCACTAAAAGGAGACACCCCCATATTACTCAACCAGGGGTTCTGCGTACTCCGGGGTTAACACTACTAACCTTCATCTACCCGGGTTTTGAGCACGTGGCTCAAAGCTCCCCAAGAAAAATCGCCGCGACGTCCGAGCCGCATACTCCGCGCCCTCCCGGCGCTCCATGCAGCAGCCCGTCACCGGGCGCCCAAGCAACGCCGCGAGCTCTGCGCGCACCGCGTCCTGACCGGAGGCGAAAGTCTCAAAGGAAAGGTCTCAAAGGAAAGGGAAGAAGTCCAAAGGATGTGAATAATATGTAAACATACTGATCCATTGATATATTTAATTGCGTATATGTTTACATACTATTTTGTCTAAATATTGATTTTTTGATTGATGAATTTGCTTCTTTATTCATGCCATGCTTACGACATTTGACAGCT